GGGGCTGAGGATGTGTCTCAGTGGTTAAGCACCCCTGGGTTTAATCCCTTGTACCCCCCCAAAATAATTCAAAGCTATAATAATCAAAATTGTATAGTACTGGAATGAAAATAAACACATAAACCAATGGAACAGAATTGATAGCCCAGAAATAAACCCACACATTTATAGTCAAATTTTTACAATGTTCTCAAGAACACACAACAGGGGAAAATTATATTCAATAGATGGTATTGAGAAAACTGGATATCCACATGCAGAATAAAATTAGTACTTCCTCTCAGACCTCATTTAAAACCATTTAAGAATAAGTAAATATAACACATGAAACTTTTAAACTACTGAAAGGAAACAGAAGAAAAGTTCTATGACATTAGTTTGGGCAATGATTATTTTAGGTATGACCCCCAAAACACAGGTACTTAAAGAAAAAATAGACAAATGAGATTATATCAAACTTAAAAGCTTCTGCACAGCCACGGAAAGTATCAACAGAGTGATGAGAGAACCTACACAATGAAAGAAAACGTTTGCAAATCATATATTAGTGAGGATATGAAGAACAGAGAATCCTTATACATTTCTGGTGGAAATGTAAATTGGTTCATCACTATGGACTACAGTATGGAGTTTCCTCAAAAAATTAAAAAATCATTACATGATCTAGAAATGCCACTTTTTCATATGTATTCAAACAAACTAAAATCAGTATGTTGAATAGATATGTGTAAATTCATTTTCATTACACCATTATTCACAGTAACTAAGATATTTAATGATTCTAAGTGTTCATCAGCAAATGAATAAATAAAGTGTGGTACATACACACAATGGAATACTATTCAGTCTTGAAAAAGAAGGAAGTCTTGTCATTTGCAAGAAGATGGATACATCTGTTAAGTGAAATAAGCTGGACACAGAAAGACAAATATTGCATGATCTCCCTTATATATGGAATATAGAAGTCAAACTCATAGAAGCAGAAAGAATGGTGGTTACCAAGAGCCTGGGGTGGGAGGACTGGGGAGATGTTGGTCCAAGGACACAAAATTTTAATTAAAAAAGAGGAAAAAGTTGAAGAATATTGTAAATTATGATGACTCTAGTTAATAGCAACATATTATATACTTGAAAATTGCTAAGAGAATAGACATTCAGTGTTTTCATCACAAAAGTAAGTTTTTGAGGTAATATATCTGTAAAATGTCTTTATTTAGCCACTTTACAATGTATCATGTATGAAAATACATCTATACACTTGTTAATTTAAAAATAAAAATAAACAACAGAATGATGTGTGCAGCTTTGCACTGCTGTGACCAAGACAACTTAGAGAAGGAAAAGTTTATTTTGACTCATGATTTCAGAGGTTCAGTCCGTGGTTGCTGACTCTATAGCTCTTGACCTGAGTTGAGGTAGAACATGATGGCAGAAGGGCATGACAGAGGAAAGGAGCTCAGGACATGGCCATCAGGAAGCAAAGAAAGAGCTTCACTAGCTTGAGACAAAACAATGAACTCTCTGCAAAAATCCTCAACAAAATATTAATAATCCAGACCTTCAGATTGTTGTAAGATATGGATTTGACTCTAATTTAAGTTAAAACTAAAATGATAGAAAAACTTTCCATATGCACAGTAAATATAAACTATATATTTTATAAAATATAAACTACAAAGGTACACCGCCAGTGACTTACCTTCTCCAGCTACACCCCACCTGCCTATAATTACTACCCAGTTAATCCATTCAAGTGGATTAGTACAGTGATCATGTTAAGGCTCTCATAATCCAATCATTTCACCTCTGAACTTCCTTGCATTGCTTCACACATGAACTTTGGGGTCATTTCATATTTAAACCATAACACCCTACCAGATTGGATATTTTTTTCTATCTTTAGTTTGACAGTGTGGTAGAAATCCTGGAGATAAAACTCACAAAGGAGTACAGGTTCCTCTATGATTGTGCAGGACTAGCATTTTTAACTCTCAGACTTGCACATACCTATTGCTCTATGGTCTCAATTCTCTTGTTGGGTATAAAAAGTATTTTTCAGTTTGTTTAGCTTTTGTTGTTAAAATAGGATGACAACATCTAAGCTCCTTACAAGCCACACCAGAAACTAGAAATCTGGGATAGATTTTTGTTTCAACTTGCCAATACCCATTTCTAGTTTGTAGAAATACTGTTTATTGTGATATTGACTACTTTAATTTAAGTCCAGAACAATTGAAGCCTCTGCAAGAGGTTCAGGATGCCATGAAAGCTGCTGGGCCACTTAATCCAGCAGATTCCATGATGTTTAAAGAGTCAGTGGCATGTAAATATGCTGCTTGGGGACCACAACAGTGAATCACATGCAGAACCTTAGGCTTTGGGGAAAATACTCTCCATCCTCTGCAGAAAATTACTCTTCTTGTGAAAAACAACTTTTGGATTGCTATTGGGCCTGAGTAGAGACTGAATTTGCAATCATGAGCCAAAAGCTCATGATCTAAGCCTTTCACCATGAACTAGGTGTCTTGTGACTCAAGCCATACAGCTATAAAGTTGGGTGTACACAGCAGCATTACACAAGATGAGGCTCAAGAAGATTCTACAGTGCATGAAGAAGCATCCCCAATGCATGACCCAACAGTCATAGCAGTAGCAATCAACTTTGGGGCAGCCCTAAGGGGGCAGCAGTAAATGGACTGCATTTTCTTAATGCATAAAACTTCAAACAGTGCACTTACTTGCTTGTTTGCTTTTACTGGAAGGAGAAATGGTCAGAGGCAAGAGTCTAAAACAATCTATGGACTGTGGCCAGTAGTCTGTCTGAAAGGCCCAGGATTTGGATAAAACATGATTGGAAAATAGGAGTTGAAGAGGCCTGGTGAAAAAAAATATGAGGATAGAAATCTCCACATCATCACAGAATGTGAAGATACTAGTGTTCTGTGTGAATGCTCACCAAAGGGCAATCTAAGTAAAGGAAGATTTTGATAATCAGGTAGAAAGGTGACCCATTCTGTAGATATGTGAAGCTCCATCCATTGAGACAGCATTATAGGGACTGTTTAAGTAGTTCCCTCAATTGTGTAGGTCAATTCCCTATAATAAAAATCCATCTATCTATCTGTCTATCTATTATCTATCTCCTACTGGTTCTACTTCTCAGGTCAGACCCTGATATAGGAATTATTTTGATTGACATAAGAGTTATTTTGAGGTCAAGTCCTTTCTTCTGTGCAAAATCCTGCTTGCTTTGTTCTGAGCCTCCCTATACCTCATCCTATTGCCAGTCACCAGAGTGAGTAAGTATATTGTGTTTTGCTATTGTATTTGATGATTCTTTGATTACTAAGGGCCTTGCTGTTCTGCCAAAGAGACTACCCATCCAAGAGCTAGCTGATTCCTAGATACAGAAAACAACTCCCTTGCAAGTGTACCTGTCATATGCAGACCAACAAATTCAGGGTCCATAGCTATCAACTATGTCCTTTACCAAGCTCTTGAAGATTAAGCCACTATTCCCTATGAAAGGTTAATAATCTTGAGAACTGTTTGCTAATCTTGTTCCCAGAATGTGCTGTCCCCAACTGCCAAACTGCAGAATGTATCCCCTCACCCGGTTGCAGGCAAACCGCCCACTCGCCCTGACCCGTCAATGAACTTCCCTCCCTGCCCTCTCCAAGGAAAGTATATAAGCTCTGCTTAAGCTGTTCTCAGGGCTCTTTGCTCTATTCAAGTGAGCTCTGAGCCCCAGCATGCTGGACCCCAATAAACCCTTTGCTGTTGCATGAGACAGTCTCTTGGTGGTCTCTTCCTCCGATGCTCGCCTGACCTTTACATTTGGAGGTCCCACCGAGATCTGGCAGCGGCGGGCGAAAGACCCCCAACGGACCCCTCTCGGGGTAAGTAAGGTGCCTCTTTCTGGTTTCTGCTTTCTGGTTCCAGGTTTCAGGTTTCTGGTTTCAGGTTAGGGCTGGCAAAGTGGCTGTTGGTGAAGAGCGTGAGCTCTCTCCGACAGTGGCTGACAGACGTGTCACAGAGCCACAGGCCACGTCCCTGGGGGACGCCCCAGAGGACTCTGGAAATCGAGGAACAGTAGTTTCCTCGACTCAGTATTCTGCAGTATTCTGCTTCGGATTCAGTTTGCCAGCCCATCAGGTTTTGCCGGCTACTCAGTCCTGTCTCAGTGTTGAACGTTTACTGTCTGTCTTTATCGTCTGTGTCGTGTGTCCTTGCTTTCACTGTTTGTGTATCTTTCATTATGGGACAGAGCACTTCAACGCCTCTGTCCCTGACCCTTGATCACTGAACCAAAGTCCACTTAAGGGCTCAGAATCTTTCTTTTTCAGTAAAACGCCGGACCTGGCAGACTCTCTGTGCCTCAGAATGGCCCACCTTTGGAGTCAGATGGCCCCCAGAAGGATCTTTCTACTTCCCACTAATTGAAAAGTCAGAGATATTGTCTTTGTCTTTCAGCCGGGACCACATAGCCATCCAGATCAACAGCCGTATATCTTAACTTGGCAGGACCTCTGCGAATCTCCTCCTCCATGGGTGAAGCCTTTCCTTGTCCCTGCCCCCACTCCTACTCCTTCCCCCACGATTCTGTCTCTCAAACCCTCTGCTCCTCCTCCTCCTCCACCCTCTGTTCTCCCTGAGTCTCAAGATTTGACTCTACTGGACTCTCCTCCCCCTCCTTATCCCCTGCCCTCGTCCCCCAACCCCCAACACCCTCTAAGTGATTCCCCTGCTGCTGACTCAGCCTCTCCACCATTGGAGGAAGCTGAGCCGGCCCAGTGCCCTCTAGATGACTCCCCCATGGCACACACAGCCCCTCCTCCCCTGAAGGAAACTGGCCCAGCTAAAAGAACTAAAAGAACTCGCCGGCGTTTTCACACCAGCCTACTTGGGATGACTGCCAACAACTCCTAGGGACTCTCTTCATGACAGAGGAACAAAAGAGAATCCTCCTGGAAGCTAGAAAAAAAATATCCTCGGACCAGATGGGCGACCGACACAACTTCCCCTTGAACCAACCCAACTGGGACCCCAACACCTTTGAAGGTAGGGAGCATCTGTCCACTTATCGCCGGGCTCTAATAATAGGTTTCCGAGCGGCAGCTAGGCGACCAAATAATTTGGCCAAGGTAAGAGAGATTATTCAAGGGCCTGATAAATCTCCCTCTATGTTTCTAGAGAGAATTATGGAGACATATAGGAGATATACTCCTTTCGATCCTCAGGCAGAACATCAAAAGGCATCTGTCATGATGGCCTTTATTGGGCAAGCTGCCCTGGATATTAAAAGAAAATTACAATGCTTAGATGGATTACAAGATATGACTTTGAGAGATTTAGTCAGAGAAGCCGAGAAGGTATACTATAAGAGAGAAACTGAGGAAGAGAAGGAACAAAGGAGGGAGAAAGAAAGGGAGCAAAGGGAGGATGAAAGAAGCAAAAGACAGACAAAGGCATTGACTAAGGTCCTGGTCACAACAAATAGGTCAGAAATTAAGAGACAGGGAGACAGAAAGGGATACCTGGGCCCACGCCAGAAGCCACCTCTGGCCTCAGATCAATGTGCCTACTGTAGAGAAAAAGGACACTGGGCCAAAGAGTGCCCTAGAAAGAGACAGCCACGCCAGCCAGCCATTCTAACTCTGGAGGATGACTAGGAAAGTCGGGGCTCGGATCCCCTCCCCGAGCTCAGGGTAACTTTTGAAGTGGAGGGGACCCCAGTAAACTTTGAAGTGGATACAGGGGCAGTATACTCAGCCCTTAAGGCCCCATTGGGCCCTCTATCAACTAAAAGGTCTCTAGTTCAAGGGGCTAACGGCAGTAAATATCGGGCTTGGACAACTAAGAGGACCATGGACCTGGGGAAAGGAAAAGTCCATCACTCCTTCCTAGTGATCCCAGAATGCCCGGCCCCATTGATGGGCAGAGATCTGCTCACCAAGCTCCGGGCCAAAATAACTTTTAACCCTGAAGGCCCCCAAATGGAATTTCTAAATCCTTCAGTAAAAACTCCTATAGTCATGGCTTTAACTATGTCAGTAGAAGATGAACATCAACTCTTCACACCCCCCAAGACTGATCAAACAGGCAAGCTATCCCAGAAATGGATAACAGATTACCCAGATGCTTGGGCAGAAACTGCTGGGTTAGGCCTAGCTGTAAAACAACCTCCAATAACAGTGGAGTTAAAAACCTCAGCCTCCCCAATTAATATTAAACAATATCCTCTGAATAAAGAAGCTAAAGATGGGATAAGGCCCCATATTCAGAAATATCTGGCCTTAGGGGTCCTAAGGCCCTGTCAACTGGCCTGGAACACTCCCCTGCTACCAGTAAAAAAGCCAAGAACCGGGGACTATCGCCCCGTTTAAGACCTAAGAGAGATCAACAACAGAGTGCAGGACATTCACCCCACAGTACCTAATCCGTACAATCTGCTTAGCACCCTGAACCCTGAGCGAAAATGGTATACTGTTCTGGACTTAAAAGATGCTTCTTTTGCTTGCCTCTGCATAAAGATAGTCAGTTGCTGTTTGCTTTCAAATGGGTAAACCCAGAAACTGGAACGTCTGATCAACTAACTTGGACCAGACACCCACAGGGGTTCAAAAACTCCCCCACTCTCTTTGATGAAGCCCTCCACAGAGATCTCAACAACTTCAGAACTACACACCCCGAAGTCACCCTGCTTCAATATGTGGATGACCTGCTACTGGCAGCCGATACCAAGGAAAACTGTGAGTCTGGGACCCAAGCACTATTATCCGAGCTTGCTCAACTCGGGTATAGAGCTTCTGCCAAAAAGGCCCAAATTTGCCAGCAAGAAGTAATCTTCCTGGACTATTCCCTTAGGGGTGGTAAACGATGGCTCACTGAGCCCAGAAAACAAACCGTTGTGCATATACCACCCCCATCTAAAAAGAGGGCAAATGAAGAGGCTAAATTGGCAGCCCTAAACGGAGTAACCATGTTAACACTTTCCACACCGGGGGAACATAAGGACACTGACACTGAACTCCTCGACTTTACTGAGCCCAGCCTGCAATTTCAGAAAGCCCTATACTACATTAAAAATGTACATCAACTCACTCACCTTGGTTCAAAGAAATTGCAGGCATTCCTGAAGGATCAAGAACAGGGTTTTTCACTAACCGGCTCACAGCGAAAGGAAATAGCTGAACGGGTAACAAAAGCCTGTCGGGTCTGTCAATTGGTTAATGCTTACCCTTCCAAGCTTCTGAAGGCACCTTCGAGGAACCAGACCAGGACAATTTTGGGAAGTGGACTTTACTGAAATTAAGCCAGCAAGGTATGGACTTAAATATTTCCTAATCTTTGTAGATACATTTTCAGGATGGATTGAAGCCTTCCCCACAAAAAAAGAAAAAGAAACAGCGCAAATGGTGGTCAAGAAGATCCTGGAAGATATTTTTCCAAGATACGGCCTGCCTAAGGTAATAGGGTCTGATAATGGACCGGCGTTCATGGCCCAGGTAAGTCAGGGGTTAACCAGGACCCTGGGGATTAATTGGAAGTTACATTGTGCTTATAGACCCCAGAGCTCAGGACAGGTAGAAAAAATGAATAGAACCATTAAAGAGACCTTAACGAAATTAAGCTTAGAGACCGGCATAAAAGATTGGACTATGTTCCTGCCTTATGCACTGTTTCATACAAGAAATACTCCCTCTGTTTCTTTGTGTAACCTCACCCCCTATGAAATTCTCTATGGTTCCCCTCCTCCAGTAAGGGACCTAACCCCAACTCTAAGACCTAACGATCCCTTCCACACCCCCTTGCTTGACAGACTTAAAGCTCTTGAAAAAACTCAGTGATACCTGTGGAAACAGCTGGCCACTGCCTACCAACCTGGGGACGAAGGAACTCCACACCGATATCAAGTGGGAAACTTCATCTACGTAAGACGACATCAGGTGTCATCCCTGGAACCCCGCTGGAAAGGACCATACCAGGTGCTACTTATAACACCTACAGCGGTAAAGGTAGACGGAATTACTTCCTGGATCCATGCCTCTCATCTCAAGCCTGCGCCCTGTCCAGACTCTGGCTGGAAATTGGAAAAGACTGGTAACCCTCTTAAATTGTGTATTCGCCGTGTGGATAAGGCTATGGACTCTCCCCTTGACCACCAGTAGTCCTAACCCTCATCAGCCCGTTCAGCAGCGATGGCTAATCACAAATCCTACTGGACAAGAAGTATGATCTATCTCACATACAGCTCCCTTAGGGACCTGATGGCCATCTCTCCACCCAGACATTTGTCAGCTGGCTATAGGTCTTTCCTATTGGGATATCCCTGATAAAGAGGATCCCACTAAAATTCCATTAAATCCCTTCCGTACCATAGATAATAGAAACAAACATTATGGATGTAGGGACACGCGAGCTAGATGCAGGTTGGCTAACCTAGATTACTATGTTTGCCCGGCGGACTATCAAAGCCACAAACAGTCACGGCTGTGTGGGGGAAAACCCGACTTCTTCTGTAAGTCATAAGGATGTGAACATACAGGGGCTACCTGATGGAACCCAAACCTCCGCCGATTCTCAGACCATTGCCCCCTTGCTGAAGTAACAGGTACTGAGGTACCCCTCCACCCATTCACTCCTCTCTTCTCCTGTCAGTGCCCACACAGGGTCCCACCAGGTCCTCTTACCAGCTAACCCAAAGCTCAAACCAGCTGAGGAGAGCCCTCAGACCCCTATCCAAGATGTAATGAAAATGGCCTTTAAAGTTGCTTTGTCATCACTGAAAACAGGTTACTAAGAATTTAAAGTCCCTCACAGGCTTTTTGGGATACTCACTCCAGTCTTCCCCTCTGCTCTACCTGTTCTACTACTCAAGTTTTTGTTGCTAGGAAAATCCCAAACCCCTTTCCCATTATTCTTTTACATCTCTCCTTCCTCATTCTCAGATCCACGGAGCTGCTCTCAGCACCGCCTTCCCCATCTTCCCCCTCTGTACCATGCCCACAGAAAAGTCTTAACTGACCTTCTCCAGAAGTCTTCACCATGGCTGACTTTAGGACTTTCAGCAAAAGAATCCCTATAAAAGAGTTCAGTATAGATAAACTTCCTCTTTTCATGTTGCCCTGTTCTACTTGGCCACTGGCTGGAAAAATCAGCACTCCTAAGCTAGACTCCCCCTTACTAGTTTTTCACAAAATATGTGAACAAGGCCTCTGGCCTTGAGCTGGGGCTTCACAGAGATGGCTACATTTCTAAGATAAAAAAGTTATCAACTGGGGGCTCCATGGTAACAACTGACAGGGGGGAAAAAAGAAAAGAAAGAAAAATTTCTCCCCCTCCCAGGTGTCCTTGAAAAGTTAACTTGCCCAGAACAGAGGAAAAAACAGAAACAAAAACTACTTTTTGTGAACTTCTGCAGACTGTGAACTTCTGAGCCCCTTCCCTTACATGTTGAGTACAAAATTCTGAAACTACCTAAACTTGGGGTTCAGGGGATTAATTGATTACAACAGAAGCAATGCCCTCTGAATCCGGTTGCAACCAAATAGGACTGTTTCCCTGTCTTCGGTGCTATCTTAGGTGCCTTGCCTTGTCCGTCCCTACAACAGTATAATTCTATATACTTAAACATTATTTATGTTTTCATGAAATGGTCAACAGATTGATTAATTGTATAATGGTGCAGATGTTTCCCAGAGTGCTCTATCATGACGCAGGTTCATTTGAAGATCAAATAAGGGGACATACAACCCGGTTCCTCCAGGAACCTGTATCCCTCACTTTAGCCATCCTATTAGGAATAGGAGTTGCTGCAGGGGTGGACACAAGAACCACTGCCCTGGTCCATGGGACACAACAAATGACCCAATTAGAAACAGCAATGGACCAAAACTTAAAGATATTAGAAACCTCCATCACAGCTTTGCAGGAATCTTTAAGCTCTCTCTCTGAAGTTGTTTTACAGAACAGGCGAGGGTTGGACCTCCTCTTCATGAGAGAAGAAAGCCTTTGTGCTGCATTGAGGGAAGAATGTTGTTTTTATGCCAACCATACTGGAGTTGTAAAATAATCTATGAATAAATTAAGAAGACGCCTTTAAGAGCATCAACGAGAGAGAGAAGCCCAAAAAGGGTGGTATGAGTCTTGGTTCACACAGTCCCCCTGGTTAACTACGCTTTTATCAGCCCTGGCCGGTCCTTTAATAATCCTTATATTGTTGCTAACTCTAGGACCCTGTTTGCTCAACCGTGTAGTTTCCTTTCTCCAAGCTCAAATTGGACAAGTCAAACTTATGGTAATCAGACAACAATATACCCCACTAGCAGACATAGAATGTGACACCCCCCAATGATCACTTTTATGATTAAAAGTAACCAGAAGAAGAAGTGGGAAATGAAAGGTTAATAATCTTGAGAACTGTTTGCTAATCTTGTTCCCAGAATGTGCTGTCCCCAACTGCCAAACTGCAGAATGTATCCCCTCACCCGGCTGCAGGCAAACCGCCCACTCGCCCTGACCCGTCAATGAACTTCCCTCCCTGCCCTCTCCAAGGAAAGTATATAAGCTCTGCTTAAGCTATTCTCAGGGCTCTTTGCTCTATTCAAGTGAGCTCTGAGCCCCAGCATGCTGGACCCCAATAAACCCTTTGCTGTTGCATGAGACAGTCTCTTGGTGGTCTCTTCCTCCGACGCTCGCCTGACCTTTACACCTTGCCTTGTTATTACTCCAGGGCCAGGCACTAGGTATCTAGGGGCAGTTTCTATGGCTCTGAGCCCACTGATGTTATTCAAACTAGAAAGTCCTATGTCTCCCTGTCCTGCCTTGCCTTACCCACAGAAACCATAATAATGACTTGTGCTTCTACTTGCCCCTGGTTTCTTCTGCCTCTAGATCAACCCTAATATTTCCTCATGTGGTCCTCTGAAGTGCACTGTGTCCTCTTTCCTTGGGAATTGTAAGTAATAAACTCTTCTTTCCAAGGCACTTATATCAGTGTCTGTCACCTTACTCTATCTGATTAAAATGAATCCTGGATATATTTTAAAACAATGAGGAAAATTGTAGTCAAAATGGAAAGGAATCAACCCAGACAGGAAATCTTTCTGTCACTCAGTGATGCTGTCTTCTAAGCATAATTGTTCATCAACTCTCCAGTCACTTGAGAAGATAGAGACATGTCTGCTAATTTCTCTAATCAGCTCATGAAAAGTAGATTTCCACGTGAAGATTTGAGGGAAAGATTGACATCACCACAAATCCTCAGAACTACATTTCCGAGGAAGAGATAAAAATTAGAGTTATATGAGAATTCTCGGTGATAGCAATTAAGTTGTAAAGACAATATTGAAAACCCTGATCTTCAGACGAGCACTCAGCACTTACATCTTTTAGTCTCCATGGCTACAGTGGCAGAACTTGGGGCCAACTCTATTGATGATGTCATTCATGACCAAGTAATGGATGTTGAAGAGCTGTCCCTGTGGCTTCAGTGTCTATTCATTCAACTTACTTCGGAGAGAGAATGTTTTTTAATAAAATCTGCTTATTTTCTCTCTCCTCACCATTGGACATTGAAACCAAGTTTTACAATTCAGAAATGGGTGACTTATTTCTTGAAGTCCAGATTCAGAATATGTCATCTTCAACTGTGTTTATATAAAAGGTTTCCTTAGAGCCATCTGAAATGTACACTGGAGTAGAATTAAATACTGTTAACCAGGGTGGAGAAGATGAGTGTACCTTTGGAACAAGGACATTTTTGCAATCAACAGAAGGACGCCAGTACTTATACCACCTTCAGCTGAAGCCAGAATATTCAGAGAAAGCTAGTACTATTAGGGGACTAATGGATATGGGAAAATTAGATATATTATGGAAAAGAAATCTGGGTGAAATGGCAATACTACAGACAATCCAGCTTGAAAGAGAGGCTCCATTTTATGGAAACATAAAGCCATCTTTGGAGAAAATCCCAGATACTGTAATTCTGGAAGAGCCTTTTCATATTACCTGCAAGATAACAAACTGTAGTGATAAGAAAATGAAATTGGTTTTGAAAATGTGTGATACATCTTCTTTTCGTTGGTGTGGATATTCAGGAAGGTATCTTGGAAAGCTGCCCACAAAGTCATCTCTCTGCTTTACCCTAACACTACTGTCCTTAAAACTGGGCCTGCAAAGTATTTCTGGCATACGAATAACAGACAAAGTATTAAGGAAAACATATGACTATGATAATGTTGCAAATGTCTTTGTAGTACCTTCCATTGTTAAAACGAAATGAAGAGACTTTTCAATGCTTTG